CTAAAACCTTTAGCGACAGAAAAAATAAAATTCCGTCGCCAAAAAACCGTCAGTACAGTGAGGGTAGCTAAAATCGTGTTTAGCGACGAATATTCCGTCGCTACATTTCAGCGACGGATAATCCGTCACACTATTTAAAAAAAAAAAAGAGAGAAAAACATTTGCGATAGATTTTTCGTAGCTAAAATAACTTTTAGCGACGGAATATCCGTCACTAAAAAATATTAGCGACTGAAAATCCATCGCTATAACTATTTTAAAAAAAACAATAATAAATAAGACGAATTTTCCGTCGCCATTAACATTAGCGATGAAAAATCCGTCGGTAATGTTTGTCCCCCGTATCTGTTTTTCGTCGCTAAAAGTCTATTTAGCGACAACTAATCCGTTGCTAAATATTTCCAATATTTTTTTAAAAATAATTTGAAAATTAAAAAAACCTGTACAATAATATAATAAATTTAAAACCCTGTTCAATCAGCAGTATAATATTCATTCTCACATATATATATAACGCATATAATTTAATTAAAATATCCCAACATAATAAACGTTGTTTTTACAGCACGTACCATGATAAATATTGTTTATACAACACACTCATTCATTGTTTTCAAAGGTAAAAAAACAAATCACGCTCACATATTGCTGTGAGACATTTTTCATTTATTGGAAAGTTACTTAATTTCGATATCTACACTATGGCAACATTACCCTCTTATATTTCAATTGTGCGCAGAAGTGTATTCTCACTTGTTATGAAGGGTAAAAAAAATTGTAACTTTTCGGAAGAAAATAAGGGAGAGAAAACTCATCCTCCCTCTGCTCAACATTTTCTTCAATGACTTCATCCTTCCCATCACAGGAGACTTAATCTCCTCCAACAATTAAACTCCAATAATTACCGACCCCCTTATAAATTACGAAGTACCAAATTAAACTCCAATAATTAATCAATTACAAAGTACCAAACATTATGTAGGAGGAGAGAGAAAGAGAGATTGAGGGGGAGAGAGAAAGAGAGATTGAGGGAGGAGAGAGTACCTGGGTCCGACGTTGGCGAAGAGAACGAGAAGGGGGAGAGGGGGGGAATGAAGAGAGAGAGAGGGGAAAATGGGAATTGAGAGAGAGATTTGGGATAAATCCCTCTCTTGGGCGCAGGCTGCCATAATTTTTTGGGCACGCCCGCGCCTAATTTTTTTCCCATCTATCTTTTTTAGCGATGGAAATTCCGTCGCTAAAAAACTTTTTAGCGATGAAAATTTCTTTTTTAGCGACGGAAATTTCGTCGCTATAAATGTTTAAGCGACGGAAATTCGGTCGCTAAAAATCCGTTGGTACAATAATAGCGACAAACATTTTCCGTCGCTAAAAATGATTTTTCCGTCATTAAAATTATTTTGCCGACGGAATAATCGCGACGGAATTTGTCATCGCTATAACATGGCTTATAGCGACGGAAATTTCTATCGCTATAAGTCCATCGGCAAAACCTCACATTCTAGCAGTGTCTAGGGTTTATAGCTTCACAAAACTCTCAAAATTCACCAAAATAAGATCTAAGGTTTTGAGGGGAGAGGGTGGTTGTTTATTCATGTGAAAGATGGAGGAAAAACAAAGAAATATCATATATACACTTAAATACACAAACGGGCCGAATCAAAATGAAACAGACTTTAAACCAAAACCTACACAGAATATGGCACCCTATAAGTCGAATTATAGGTAAGCATAAGTCGACTTACCCGAGGCATTTTCCAGCCTACAGGTTTTTCATGTGTGTGCATGTTTAACACTTGTATGCTCTCATATATATACTTAATTGATCTCAAATCACTATCACACTCATTCATCAATAAATGATATTAATCATAATAAAAACTCATTTAATATTATTTTCCATAATATTTCAAAATTTTACGAGGTTTTACATGATCGTAAGGCATAATAACTGACCTATTGAGACTAATTATAATGGTCCTATATTGTTATACCGAGGCTAATAGTTAGGTCCATGGGCCACTACTGTATTGTATGTTGAAAGCAGATGTCCAATGCTATATGAAGTTAAAGTGCGTACCTAGTCGGCCAAGTCAACATAACGTCGTAAATTGGTTTAGCTTACTTAATTATAAAATCTAGGTCATTTTTGAAATAACTATCAAGCATCAAAGCAAAAATATGGAGGGTAGGACAATTGTTAAATTTACCAAGGAAAATCAATATGATTTTCTCTAATCGCAAGAGACCTCTATGGGAATGGTGGGTAGGATGGACAAAAGTAGATGGAGGAACCGAAGTTAGGAGTGGTGATAGTAAATTTTGATGGTGTTGTTTTATCAAATCACGGAGGCATTAGAGTTAGAGTGGTAGCTCATAATTTTGAATGGGACTTTTTAGCTACTCTAACCAAAATAATTTCTATCAAAGGCAAGGCAGAACATGTAGAAATCATGGCAGCATTGGAGTTTGTTCAGTTTGTGCACGATATTAACTTTTAGAGATATTAAGCTCGAGGGAGATTCTGAAAATATCATTGGGACAATCCAAAGCTAGGCTATGGTGTTTTCTGTTCTTGGGCAAACGTTTGACTACATCTGAAGTCAATATGAAGAATTTGGAGCAATTTAGCTTTGAGGTACTTGAAAGAATTGGAATATCATGCCTCATTTGCTAGCAAAAAAGGCGATTGATTTGGACGACTTTCAATAGTGGCTTGAGGATACTCCGAAATTCATTTTGCACAACATGAGGATAGATCCTAGATGTGAGCTTAGAAGTTTTGAATTTTATCTCTGTTTTGGGCTATTAATATCTATTTATAAAAAATAACTAATTTTGCTCATATGCTCAAGTACATTTCTACATGATGTTACAGTATTCAAATGTATCAAGCCATACATCTCGATGTTCCAATAGTTTGACCTCAGAACACGTGAGAGTTAGTTTCGCTCAGCCTCTTGAGCTTTGGAGAGTGTTGCACATAATCTCTCTAAAGAGGGGTGATAGGGGCACACCTCCAACCACACCCTCTACCACACCTCCTCTCCCTCTATAGTGCATTGGGTCCCACATCAAATTTTTTTTAAAAATTTGATGTGAGGCCCAATGCACTATAGAGGGAGAGGAGGTGTGGTGGAGGGTGTGGTTGGGGGTGTGCCCCTAACATTTCTAATCTCTAAACTTTAAATTTGTATCTAATAATCCCTATGAAATTTGGGTGCCTCACAAAACCTCCCCAACTTACCAACTTTTCTCATTAGACGCCCTACATGTAATTCATAAAGACCAATTTGTTTTGAGAGAGAAAATTTTAAAATTTGTCATTTCTCATTTATAGGCAAGATACACCTTCTCCTAAATTTTATATTTCTTCTCTCAAAGAGATTTTAGTTATTTACAAATTATATATAAGGGGATCAAGGAAGGAAACTTCAAAATTTACAATGGCTTTGTGGACACCTGAAAGGTTACTGGTAAGGGTTATGTGAGATAAATATTGTTCAGGGGTCGTATGTTCAATATCCCCTAACATTCAAGGGGTTATGTGAAATTATCCTAACATGTTATTCTCACAGTACTATCCAATCAACCTGTTTAGGAGTACTTTAGAAGTATTGCCCCATCTATTAATGATTCTTTGATAATGGTCAGGTTCTGATCACCTTAACAATTGCAGCAGGTCTTACACATAATTCATGAAGAAGATAGAAGAGACCCCATTTCATAGTCAAAAACATTTTAATTCTGAAATTACAGCACAAATAAATCTTTTAATTGATTCCATATAAATCATTTTTGTCATTAATTTTGCCTTTACAAAACTAATAAAACATAGTACCTTATAAACACAATATAGAAACAAAAAGCTTGAGATGCAAAAATAGCAATAGGAAGCACCATTTGCCATATCACCGCTTCTTGCATCATATCAAATAATTGATCTTACCAGCATAACACATGGGAGCTTCGTTAGGACGTAGTATGTACAATATCTCTTGTTTGAGTAATAATAAACTCTCATTTGTTACTAATAATTGTTTGAGATGATATACAACAATATCTCATGTTTCCGTTAGGATGTAGTATGTACAATATCACTTGTTTGAGTAATAATAAACTCCCATTTAATACTAATAATTATTTGAGATGATATACTATAGGTAAATACAAGTCTAAGATGTGTATGAGATAAAACAACATGATAATCAGCTCATAAGGTAATTTTACCCATCCCACCATCGATAGTCAATAGTGACTCATCAATGGTAGTGAACTCATTGATAGCTACGGGAACCAATTGATAATTTTTCAGAAACAAAATTTCAGATTTTCAACAGTATCAAGGAACTCATCAATGATGTCTCAACTCCAACGATGGTTGAGTACAACTATTGATGGTAAAGTCGGCTGATTGTAGACTTTAAGTTTTATTACAATCATTCATCATTCCTTTGATCTCCAAACTCTACCACATTACAATATCTCTTCCTTGACCTATTGTACACTATATATCATTGAAAGAGAGAGAAAGAAGAGAGAGTTTTGATTTGAGTAGAGATTATACTAAAGGTTTTGCCCCACGGAGCCTCGAAAAACTCCTTCTTGTCGTACATAATATCTCTAGGTCATTTCAGTGGGAGAGCTGCCCTTAGATATATCACCTACACCATTTTCATCATATTATGCTTAGATTCTTTAAAGCATGGTATGTTTATCAAAAGGGCTTAATATCTTTAATATTTTTGTGCTTGAGTATGCTTATTTGGTTTTGACTTAAACTTGTATTTTTTGTGTTACTCATTGTCGAGAGTTAGGTTACATGATTGGTTTCGAGTTGATTCCTAGATATGGTCCTGTATGAGAGTTTTTTTTGTCCACTGATTGTGATGTTTAGAGTAGTATAGAGAAGGATATAGTGTACAAAAGGTATGAATGCTCTTTATTATTCTTTAATTATTAAAGAATTTAACCATGTGTTAATATATTCTACTATGCAGGAAATCTGGATAACTTCAGAAGTTACACACAAGGAAACTTCATAGGTGAAAGAGGCGAAACTTACAATACTTGTAAGTATGAGAATTTAAAGATGAAGGATTATAGAGTATTCACGATATCTTCACCCAATTTATGAATATTGTGAACAATTAAAATCTATGGGAAAGGAGTACAATAATAAGAAGGTTGTGAGAAAAAAATTTCATTTTTTTTAGGGATTGGGAACCAAAGGTCAGGCCTATCAAAGAATTATAAAAGTTTTCTAAATTGACTCTTACTTATCTTATAGGTAATCTTCTCACTTTTGAAGTGTGACTAAAAGAAAGAGAAGATAACTCGAAGATGATATTTTTAGCTCTAAAAGTGAAAAAGGAGAAATCCCGACCCACAAAGAAGAAAGAGTTAAGCTCAAGTTCTAAAGATGAAAGTGGTCAAGTTGTAATAGGATTCAAACCTTTTCTCATAAGAAAGAATGGATAGAAATACCGATAAATGTTATGAAATCAATTTAGAAATAAGGTAAATAAATATGTATCTAGTGAATTTAAAATCGAGCCTACTTGTTATCGTTATAGGAAACCCGGTCACTATAAAAACAAATGCACATCGAATAAGAAGACAAGAACATGAAGGACAAAAAATTTAAGGTGACAACTTGGAATATGATGAGTGATGAAGAATTGTAAGTTGTCTCAAGTGAGGATGAGAAGAAAGTAAATCTATGTCTTACAGGGAGAAAGAGTATAACTCCAGATATTCAGAACAAAGTGAAACATACAACTTTGAAACTAAAGGTCCAAAAATGAGGTATATCCTTCATATGATGAGTCATATTCTAAGTATAAAGATATGCTAATTCAATTAAGAAAATTGCTAAAAATATAAAGTGAAAGTAAGAGTGAATTCAAGTTTGACGAAAGAAAAGAAAATCTTATGTGAGAAAATTGAATCTCTTTCGCTAAATTTGGATTGTCGTAATTTACCTTGTCACAATTGATTGCACATAATGTGTGCATTTCAAGATCGAAATTCCTGTTTATCTAAGAAACTAGATGATAATATCAATGAGAATGAAAAATTAATTTCTAATGTAAAAGAACTATTGTGTCAATTGTCTTCTGAAGAAATAAAGTTTGAAGCTAAGTACACTACTATTGGTTCTAAAAATGGACAACTGAAGTCCAAAAATATTGATTTAAAAAAGGACATGAAATTTTTTTCATCGGGATCTAATGGTTTAAATATGGTCCTCTTCAATCAATGGTTTGCAAAAGCTAAAAATGGACTTGGTTATTCAAATTCATGAAAATTTCAAATATTTTAACCTTCATTTGTAAAAGTAAACAATTTAAATATCTTTGGACCAATTTCTAATGCATCATCCATTATGTGTATCTTACATGGTTGAATGGATCATATTTTAATGAATTGTCACATGCAATGCAGAGTTAAAATTGCTTAGCAAATTTTTGTACCTAAATATTTTCCTAACCAACATGAACATATATGGATACTTAGTTCACACCTATCTACTTTCTATAGGGCTACAGTAGGATCGAGGATTGGTGTATACACAAGAGTTGCTCAAGGAGTGCTAGATCGACAATCCAATTCTTAGTCTGACAAAAAAATAAGGAGACATAGGTTTTTAATATTATTTTTATTGTCTCCTTAAATGGGTAACTTCTTTTCATAGGTATTCTCTCTTTACCTAGTTGTATTATATTTTTCCTTTTTTAAATGTTATTTGCTTTTTATTTTTTATTTTATTTTTCTTTTTTTATTAAAGAAATATTTTGGGGGTTACCATCGATGATCCAACCTCCACCATCGATGCGCTTAAAACAGTGGGGATAAGTTTATTTTGTCATATTTTACCCTTTTACTCTTTTCACTCTTAAATTCTTCAACTTCTCTTTGATTTTCTTAGATTATTTCTATGATCTAATGAGTTTGAGAAGTTTATAATCTCTATTTTGTGATCTAATCTCATTTAGTTCATTATCAAGAGAATGTCATGCCTAAAATGGACCTGAAGTGAGCCACTTTCAAGAGCTATACAAGAGAGGTATGAGAAACTTCTCTTTGTCTTCAAGAGAGGAGTCGAGTCACAAAATTTGAAGGGGTTTGCTAATATTGTTTAGATACTGGATAGAGCAGGGCTGAGCTCTATGATGGACAATGGGGTGAGAGAGCGAACGTCACTCTCGTGAGGGAATTCTTTATGTATTTTAATAGAGATCATGGCTCTAATGTTGCAGTTACTCGAGTGAGAAGGAAAGAGATCAAGATTAGTGTTGCATACATTCAGAAATTCCTACATCTACCACCCTTTAATGATAGTTGGAACGTGTTCAACTACTCAATAGGAATTATAGCATGTTTTGAAAGCTACAACAAGATGGTGGAGTTTCTTTATGGCAGAATACATTTTGATATCTTTAAACTCAGGACATCTCAAGCCTGAATTTTTCTCTTAATCTCTTCCTCAAGTTTGATGTATGTCCTAGTGCTGCCTACACTATTCTTAACATCTAGGATATCTTCTTATTGTATTAGCTTGCCAGGGGTAAGTCTTTTGATCCCACTAAAGATCATATTTATTTGGATATGTATGGTTGGTACTGTTGCTAGGGAGGATGTTTAGAAGAAGTCTCGCTAGAAGACTCAAATGGTTTATCCATTTGTAAAACCTTGTAAATTTTGAAATATTATGGAAAATAATATTAAATAAGTTTTTATTATGATAAATATTATTTATTTATGAATGAGTATGTTAGTAATCAATTTGAGATCGATTAAGTATGTATATAAGTGTAAACGAGTGAAAATATGCACTGGTGCACAAAACCTGTAGGTAGGATATTTCTCTGGTCACTTGACCGATGGCAAGCCATCAGTCGACCGATAGGGGCTTATCAGTTGACCGATGGTAAGCCACCAGTCGACCGACGAGTGCACAAGGCAGTTTCCCAGTCTATTTTGGTTTCGGGTAAAATTGATTTGGTTCGGGTTTATTGGTATATATATGAGTATATATACCCGAAATTTCTCTTTTTCTTCATATTTTCATGTGAACAAAAGCCACCCTTCCCCCTCAAAAACCCTAGAGTTGTTTTTGTGAGTTTTGAGAGCTTTGAGAAGCAAGAATCAAGAGGAGACGAGATCCACGGCTTTTGGTGAAGGAGGATAATGTTTTCTTGCATATTTGGGGAGACCAGCACGTTTTGAGGCAAGTTTCATCTCCTCCACACCCATCTTCTACTTTTCTTTGGTTTAGTTTGGATTTGTTGGATTTTTGAACCTAGTTTATGTATAAAGATCACTTCTTTTTGAACCATATGATACAAAGATTTAATCTTGTTGATTTAAAAAGATATAAAATAGATTTCCAGATGTGGGTTTGGGTTTTGAACGTGATTTAACAAGAGTTTTGATTAAAGTTAGTTTTTTCATGATAATCTTATGTATATGAACGTGTTAGGGTTTTTGATTTATTACCAAATTCATATTTGTAATTTCATGCAATAGAATAAACCCTAATTTTCCTTAAACCAATTTTAACACATGAGTTTTTTAGAAATTTTTTTGATTTTTAAATGAATTTATGAGAATATCAGTTTAAGGCTGAAAACTATGTTTTTACATCTCGTCGGTCGACCGATCAAGGATGATCAGTCGACCGATGATTTGTTAGCAGGGTTTTGTGTTTGCTTTGATAGGTCGACCGGTCATGGACCACTAGTCGACCAATCAAGGTAATTTTGTGCATGGTTGTTCAAGCCATCAGTCGACCGATTGCACATGATCGGTCGACTGGCTTGGGTTGTTCTGTGCATTTTAGTTTTATTTCATGTGTTTTCGTTCGCACACACGAAGTACGAGTCGCACATCTAGATAGGTGCATTGTATATGAGGGTACACGAACTAGATTTGAGTACGCACGAGCGTTCGGAGGTGCGTTTTTCCATATTTTAATTTGTCATGATAAATAGTGACATATATTGTATTTATGATGGTTGGATGCTTGAGTCGGTTAGTTGGCATACGGCAATGAGACCACGGTAGACTACACTCAGGGTGGCTAGTTGGTATACTACAATAAGACTGTGGTAGACCACACTCCGTTGTGCATCACTGTTTTTGAAATTGGATGGTTAGTTGGCATATCACAATGAGACTAAAGTAGACTACACTCAGGGTGGTTAGTTGGCATACTACAATGAAATTATAGTAGACTACACTCCGTTTAGCATCATTGTTTCTTATAGAGGATTACACAGACTGCATTCATGCCCCCATGATATTTCCCCGAGAGTATGGTATAAGATTGAGGTTGTCATACACAACATATTCTATATGAGTTTTCTAGACCAGTATATTATACTTGTGACTACACCACCTACCCGAGGGTAGGGTAAGATATTTGACATGACTTGCATTGGTTGAGGTTTGGAGTTAGTATTTAGAGATTCACAATTTGAGATACGAGGTATATACATGAGGGTTTCCTTATTTGTATTATTTTGCTCGACGTACCCATTTTCGTGTTGTGGAGTTCTAAATATCAATTTCCGCATAGTCCAGGATAGCGATGACCTTGAACTCTGGTGCCCAACTTCTAGTATATCTCCACTAGACAGAGCCAGCCTCCTACTCTGTTGTCCTATAACAGGCTGGTGGCGACTACTCTGCAATAGGGCACATGAGCTGCTGGTGGTGGCACCACTGACTGGTGTCACTTAGCGAAATTGATTTCGCCATCCTGCTCCAAATCGTAAGCTATCCGGGCTACAAACGTGCTAGAAGTGTCGATCAATACTGTGGAGCCTGCTACGGCTTGGGCTCTCTGGATCATCTGGCCTAGCTCCCTAAGCACGGTGATTCCTTCTCAGCGACCACATCCTCTTCTCGACATCTATAATTTATGGAATATAGCGTATAGACATAGTAAATGAAAAAAACTCAAGCAATAACAAGCATGATAAAATAAGAAAAGTCCCGTACAACATGATCCTGGCAATGCAAATACTTTTCAATCAATGTAATGATAATTATAAAAAATTTATAATTTTTTGAGTTATACATATAAGTCATCAGCTTAAATCTAGGAATTGCCAGTGTACTCTAGTACATGAATCCTAGGAAACATTTATCTAGCTCTCACAAATTGACACAGGATTATCTTAAGGATACTGGAACAGAGTCTGGTACCCAAACGTGACGAACCCTGGTTTCACAGCAAGGCTACAGTCCAAGGTGAAATCAAAGATGTCAAACATGCCATGCTACGTCCACACTATGCAACATCACGTTTCATATCACAGTAGTATCTCCCTAGTGGAATCACATAAAAAAGTGTAGGTACTAAGTAGATTAAAATAGAATAAAGAATACAATGATATGTAAAGGAAGGAGACTAAAATATAGTTTATCATATTCCCAACATGAATAATTAAGTAAACTGTGTCTGAAACAGTGTGAAAATTCATTACATAAGAATTCAACTCATAGTACTAAAGCATTAACAACCTCCAAAATATAATAACAACTGTAATGTGAAACAAATAATAAAGTACTGTGATGCGATAATGTAATGACCGTAAAATTTAATATTGAGCTTGAAATAGTTTTTTTTTTTAATATTTTAATCATTATTTAGAAAGTTTTGTATTTTGTAATTTTCTGTAATTTTCTATGTTTAAATCCAAATTTTATATTATATAAATGATTTAATATCTGTAAATATTTGAGTGGTAAAAATTTCTAAAATTTAATATGGTTGTGTTCAATGTCGGTATATTATGTATTATTTTAAATTAATACGTTGTATTATTTTACCGGTACCGTATTAATTCTGCATGTATTATGTTGAATTAATAACTTCGTATATTCTGTGTAAATTATCGTATTATTTTCAATTAGTATACGTATCAGCTGTCGATATTAGCACAACGGTATGTTTTACTATGTATATGTAATTAATCCATATTTATTTGTATCCCTGAAAATAAGTAATTATAATTTTATTAATTAATTCTTGTTTTAAGTTTTATAATTATGGTATTATTTTTCAGTTTCGTAATCAATTGTTGTAAATAGCACAACATGTCGTTTTAATTGTGGCCTAATTATTCCTGTAATAATTAATATTAAAGTACTATAATTAAATATTGTTATATTAATTTAGTTTAAATACCTAAACCCTAACGCCTAATTTTAATCTATATATATACCCTTCATATTCTCTCCTCTCTCTCCGGTCTCTCTCTCTCTCTCGTATTAATTTCTGCCGCCGCCTTCTATTTCTCTCTTCCTGTCACGAGAAAAACCCGACGCACACCAGCCTGAAACTCACTCGCCAGCAGGCACCTGTTGCCCTCAGTGCGCCAAGTCACATGCCGCACCCCCACTTCCCCCGTCGGCCTGACCTCCGACGTTACTTGCACCGAGCCTCACTACCAAGATCCGTGCCTCACAAGCTCGCCGCCCCTCTCCTTTCACCCGACGCCCACGACCGCATGAGACCCGCAGCCGCCGCCTTTGCTCCTCCTCCGTGGCACCACTCCAGCCCCCTGCAGGCAGCCCTTCCAGCCGCAATTCAACCACCACCACTCCCTCGTTCGACCCAGCCGCTGAGCCGCCTGCTTGCACCCCTGACGCGAGCCCCTGCACCGCTCAGCCCAGGCCAGCCGCTCGACCTCTGAGCCGCCGACCATGAGTTCCCCAACCCCGACCAGCGCCACAGATCCACCTCGTCGCCAAGCGTTCGTGCCGGCTCGCTGTTGCGGCTCATGATCCCGCTGCCCGTCGCTGAACAGTCTCTGCGCAGAGCTCGTTCCCGTTCGCCGGTCGTGCTCCTCCATGTCGATCTGATCCTCCGCACGTCGAGCTGACGACACGTTCGCAAATACATCGAGATCCCAGATCTCTACTTTACTTGTTTCTTGAATTAATGGTTCATATGCGCTGAATTAATAATGGTGATTTAGATGTAAAGGTAAATTATTTTATAAGAATAATACGTTGTTAGTGATGATGATTACATATAGTTAAATTACTATTGTGGTTAATCGTATGTTGAATTATCTGCGTGGAATGATGATTACGAGCCACCGTGAAAATTAGATAAATAATGTTGTTAATTGTATTTTTAAGGAATTTCGGAGATGAAATGATAAGTATGTATTAATTAGAATTTCATGAGATTTTATAGAAAAGGAATTAATTAAGGTAATTTATAAAAAATAGAAAATATACTTTCATGTAGAAATGGTAATTAACAAATATAATTATATATATCTATTATATAATATATATATTATAATGATATATATATATATATGTATATATAATATATATATATGATAATATATTATATATATATTATATATATTATATATTATATATATATATATATATATATATATATTATATATAATATCTTAATATATATATATTATATATATATTATATATTTGTTTTTAAATTAATTGATTATTGAGAAATAGTTTTCAGAATAAATTTTGGAGAAAGAATATTTATTATTTATGAAAGTATGACTGATTATCCGTAGAGCGCGGATATTTCATGTGCGAAAACGACACAGTTTCTAGTTTTCTTTTTACCGTATTATAATAGAGATAAGTACAGTAGGATATTTGTATCAGAAGTTCCGGACACCAGCGGTAAGATAAATAAATGAGCCCACCA